ACTCATATTGTACTATTTGCTGACCACTGATTAGGTAGGGCAATTTTACAGCTATTATTTCCATTCTATGAATGAATAAACAGACTCGGAAAGGTTTTGCGATTTTTATAAGGTTGCCCAGCTCATACATGTAAGTACTAGCACCTACATCATCAGCTCCCTATCTTTCCACTACATGCTAAGGTTTTGCAGTTGCCTTTCTCACATTACGGTTGGAACATTTGAAGGTGGTAGAATCTTTATTTTATGCCCTTTGCCATTTCCCAGCAAGCCCATAATTCTCACCACACCAGAGCACAAATAGCAGCATGACTTCCCCCCAGCTCCCATCTGCCACCCAGCCAGCACCACTTCCTGATGACTTACCATGGAAGATAAGACATAACTGCAAAACCAGACCCCACATCAACCACGTTGTGACTGCCCAACTGCTCTAACACTAAGAAGGACTCCACCTTAGCGAACTGCCTACACACTTCCTGGAGTTCAATGGAAGAACCCACCAAAATGTTACAGCACCCACATTCCATCCACCTTTTCACACCTGATCTGAGTCCAATGAGCAGAATGGCAATTAGGTCCTAGGGGCCTAATGTAAAAAAATAAAATAAAATAAAAAATAAAGTCTTAAGATCTGGCACCAGGATCAGTTGTATAATTTGTAGAACCCAGTACAGAATGAAGTACACTGAGTGGCCAGGTTATTATGATCTCTTAATGCATAGCAATCTGGCCACTCAGTGTATATCCTATATAATAAAAGGCTAATATGCAAATTATCCCCTCAATCAGGAATTTGACTAGCAGGCAGGCCAGCCAACCGCCCATGTCTCCTCCCCCTGGCCAGGCTGGCCGGATTCCACTCATGTCAAATTCATGTACTGGGCCTCTAATACACACACACACACACACACACACACACACACACACACTGAATGGCCAGATTAGTATGCGTTCAGAGATTATAATAATCTGACCACTCAGTCTATGGAACTCTTGCCCTAGTTGGTTTGGCTCAGTGGATAGAGTGTCAGACTGTGGACTGAGGGGTCCCAATATCAATTCTAGTAAAGGGCACATGCCTGGGTTTCAGGCTTGATCCCCAGTTAGGGGCGTGCAGGAGGCAGCCGATCAGTGATTCTCTCTCACCATTGATGTTTCTATCTCTCTCCCTCTCCCTTGCTCTCTGAAATCAATAAAAATATATTTTTTTAAAAGAAATATGAGGCACCTTGTTCAAATACTATGAAGAATTTCAAGGTAGCACAGCATCATTAAACCAAATTCAGGGTCTCTCTGAGCTCAATGTTCTGTGTGACTGCACAAGTCACAAACCAAATCTGGGACATCCAGAGACTCAGGCTGGGACCCTCCCCATGTCCCTCTACCTGATGTCATTAGCCCAATGGAACAGTTTACCTGGAGAGAATTCATGTTCAAGAGAATTAATTTTGGTAAACTATGACTCTGGCCTCTGAAAGCAACTTTAGTTTCTGCTTGGTCCCCCAATGGTGTGTTCCTTGTGTGTTTTGGATTTTTGTTGTTTTTTGTTTTAATATATTTTATTGATTTTTTTTTTACAGAGAGGAAGGGAAAGGGATAGAGAGTTAGAAACATTGATGAGAGAGGAACATCAATCAACTGCCCCCTGCACACCCCCTACTGGGGATGTGCCCGCAACATGCCCTTGACTGGAATCGAACCTGGGACCCTTGAGTTCACAGGCCTACACTCTATGCACTGAGCCAAACCAGTTAGGTCTGTTCCTTGTGCTCTTACCACACATCACATTGAATGCAGTACTTGTCTACCTGTCTGTCTTTACCAGGTCTGCAGCCATGTTCTTTTCATCCCTGGGTCCCTAACAGCATCTGGCACATAGATAGCACTTCATGTTTGTAAGTGGGGGTCCTTCGTCTCTCGAGCCCCCCAGGGCCCTGTTTCACATCCTTCCCTAACTGAGTCACCAGGCCTTGCCTGCAGTGGTTTTCTTCAGAGGAAATGTTGGTTGGTCTGAAAGAAAAGAGGTTTATATTTGCAGGGCCCGGGTTCATTCAGGAACTGCTTACCGGTGAGGACAAAGGCAGCCTTAGGGAGACAGGTTAAAAATCCCTTTGCTTAAAAAAAAAAAAAAAATATATATATATATATATATATATATATATATATATATATATATATATATATAAATTGATTTTAGAGAGGATAGGAGAAGGAGAGAGAGAGAGATAGGAACATCAATGATGAGAGAGAATCATTGATCAGCTGCCTCCTGCAGGCCCTCTACTGGGGATCAAGCTTACAACCAGACATGTGCCCTGACCAGGAATCGAACCGTGACCTCCTGGTTCATAGGTAGATACTCAACCACTGAGCCACATTGGCCGGACCCTTTGCTTTTATGACACTTCAAAATGACCTGTAGTCTCAATGACTTTTATTCTTGCACTCTTTATGTCAAGCCCTGGATAAATTTTAGGATTAGCCTGAACCCACTTAAGTGGAAAACTTACATGCTGCTCTTTGGGACTCACCTGCAGCCAGTATTCATCAGAGGAGCACTGTTCTTGTTTATGACTGATACTCTGACTCATGGGTCAGTGCCTGTGTCTGTTGGTTTTTTAAACATTTGTAGTGGCTCAAAACACTGTTTATTACTAAATAGAGCTCAGTAAAAACAAAAAAGTAATGAGAGAAGAGGAAAAGGTGAGAAAAATAACATCTTATAATTATATTGCTTTTCGTTTCACAAATTATGTATTAAATCAATTTATTTTATTAGGTGATGGAGGGAAAGAAAATAAACCTTTAATTCTTTTTCCCCCCTCTCATGTTAGATTTTAAAAATATTCATTCTTGCTCTGACTGGTTTGGCTCAGTGGATAGAGCATAAGCCTGAACCAAAAAGTCCCAGGTTTGAGTCTGATCAAGGGCATGTACTTCGGTTGCATGCTTCTCCCTGACCCGGGCCCTGATCGCGGCTCATACAGAAGACAACCATTCAATGTGTTTCTTTCACATTGATATTTCTCTCTGTCTTTCCCTCTCTCTTCCACTCTCTCAAAAAATCAATGAAAAAAATGTCCTCGGATGAGGAATAAATAAATACATAAATAAATACACTCATCCTTCAGCTTTTACTAGAAAGTGTTCCTGAATTCCCAAAACAGAACTAGTTCCTCTTGCTATTCTCTCCCAACCACCATAATACTTACTTGTTTTATATTTAACCTTTTGTGGTTACCTCATCCCCATTGGTCTCTTTATTTAACTGTTACATCCTGGAAGTAGGAAGTATATCTATTTTTGTTCATCATTGTATCCCCAACTCCTTATTACATTATTCTGTAATCTTCCATCAACAGTTTGTCTCCTCGCCTTGGTGTTTTTCCTAATGCTTAAAAGAGTAGTTTGCTCAACAAACATCCATATTACAGGTTATACTAGAGGCCCATTGCATGAAATTCGTGCACGGGAATGTGTGTCCCTCAACCCAGCCTGCACTCTCTCCAATCTGGGACCCCTCTAGGGAGGTCTGACTGCCCGGCAGTCAAACAGCCCTCTCACAATCCAGGACTGCTGGCTCCCAACTGCTTGCCTGCCTGGCTTCCTGATTGCCCCTAATCACTTCAGCCTGTCAGCCTGATCACCACCTAACCACTCCCCTGCCAGCCTGATTAATTTCTGCCTGCTCCCCACCAGCCTGATTGCCCCTAACTGCCCTCCCTTTCAGGCATGGTCACCCCTCACTGTCCTCCCCTGCAGGCATGGTCACCCTAACTGCCCTCTCCTGCTGGCCTGGTCCCCCCCACAACTGCTCTCCCCTACAGGCCTGGTCACCCCCAACTTTCCTCTTCTGCTGGCTTGATTGCCCCCAACTGCCCTCCTTTGCAGATTTGGTCCCTCCCAACTGCCCTTCCCTGCTAACCTGATCACCCACAACTGCCCTCCTTGCAGGCCTGGACCCTCCCAACTGCCCTCCCCTACTGGCTATCTTGTGTCCACATGGGGGCAGCCATCTTGTGTGTTGGAATGGTGGTTAATATGCATATTACTCTTTTATTAGGATAATAAACGCCTGCCACAGTATCTGAAACAAAGCTGACCTTGAATAAATATATGCATTCATTCATAAATGTGTGAATGAATAAATGAACTTTACTTCAGAAGTTGTTCCACGACATTCTAGGCAACACATAAGTGAAATCCATTTATCACTTTATCCCAGAAGTATTTACTAACCACGCACTGTGTGTCAGGTACTCTTCCTGGACTGAAGATACAATAGTTAATAAAAAAGATCCCCCAGCCTTAACCGGTTTGGTTCAGTGAATAGAGCGTCGGCTTGTGGACTGAAAGGTCCTAGATTCAATTCTGGTCAAGGGCATGTACCTTGGTTGCAGGCACATCCCCAGTAGGAAGTAGAAAGGAGGCAGCTTATTGGTGTTTCTCTCTCATCGATGTTTCTAACTCTCTATCCCTCTCTCTTCCTCTCTGTAAAAAATCAATAAAATATATATATTTTTTAAATCATCAACTTAGGGAGTATTTACTCCATAACACTGTACCTGCCAGGAATAGAGGCATAAATGTAACTTTTGCAAAGACCACAGGAGCCATCCCAGGCTCTTGCCCCAACCCTTCCACTTCTTGGACATCTGATATTGGGAAAGAAAGACATTCGCTATCTCAGACCTCATGGAGACTTATGTTCCTTCTAACCTCAGAGTCTGTAAGTCTAGATAAACATGTTTTTAATTAAATAGATCCCTGGAGATTCACTTGGAAACTTCATTTTTTAATGATAATCCTTTAGAAAATGTATCCATCATAACCTATTAAATATGTCTACGGTAGAATGCTAAAACAGAAAGGCACCCTCAAGAAACTGGATGGCCTGCATCCATGGGAGCTCCTAAGGGAGTCTCCAGCCTGGGGAGACAGGGAGCTCTGAATGGTGCAACAGCCAAATGGCCACAATTTTCTATTTATGTCCTCAGGTCTGGAAGCAGCTGAAAGCAACACAAACATCCTCACAGTGAGTGGGATTCTGGGGGAGACAGTTACTTTCCCTTTAAATATCCAAGACGTACAGCAAGTTTCCACCATTAATTGGAGGAATTCCAAAACATCTGTTGCTGTGGTAGTGGCCCACTCAAACAAACCCCCACAAGTCCTTGTGACCCACCAATATTATAATCAACGAATAAACGTCTCGAGTCAGAACTACAACCTGGAGATAAGCAATTTGAGGATGGAGGATTCAGAGACCTACAAAGCTGACATAAATACAGACAACTCCGAAAAGAAGACATTCACCAGGACCTACAAACTTCAAGTTTATCGTAAGTCGTGGGAAGATAAAGGGCTTGTTTTTTATTTTTACTTGGCAAATTTGCCATTATAGAACAACTGTATTTCTGACTACTGGATTCTCTAAATCATTTCATGCTTATAAATAAGCATAACTATATTAATACTTTTCAAGAGGGTTTGGATTTGCTTGTTTTCAGCAGTGTAACTTTCTATCAGCAGTTTGTCCCATGGCCTTGTTTTTATTCTCTATAAAATGTGAAAAATCATACCATTCCTTTCCCATAGTTATTGTGAGGACCCCATGTGGGATAGTGTGTGCAAATACTTTAGAAAACTTTTCATTTGAAATATATAATTACAGGTGCATAGAAAGGTGTAAAGACATGTACAGGAATGTTCTGTGTCCACTGTACCCAGTCTCTCCCAATGGTAACATCTTATATAACTACTAGAGGTCCAGTGTATGAAAATCATGCACAGGGGAAAGGGGTATCCCCTCAGCCCAGCCTGTACCTTCACCAATCTGAGTCCTCTCGGCGGATGTCCAACTGCCGGTTTAGGCCCAATCCCCAGGATCAAGCCTAAACTGGCAGTCGGACATCCCAAGGGTCTATTAGGTTTTATATAGAGAGATAGTTTTAATATCAAAACCAGGAAATTGGCATTTGTGCAACAAATAGATCTTACTTTATATTTCACCACTTACACAAGCACTGATTTATGTGTGAGTGTATGTGTTGCTCTGTGCAATTTATTTACATACTAGAGGCCCAGTGCACGAATTCATGTGTCAGTGGGGTCCCTTGGCCTGGCCTGTGCCCTTTCACAATCCAGGATCCCTTAGTGAATGTTGGACTTCCAGTTTTGGCCCAATCCCTATAGGCCAGACTGAGTGACCCCATCAGTGCACGAATCCATGCACCGGGCCTCTAGTATGCATATAAAATCTTTAGTTAATCTCTTCTTGCCCTTCCCTCTGCCCCTTTTTCTCTGAGATTCATCAGTCTGTTCCATGTTTCCATGGTTGTGCATTGAGTATCTGCCCCCCTGGTGGTCAATACACATCATAGCTAATGGTTGAATGGTCACTTAGGCTTTTATATATACTAGACACCCAGTGTACAAATTCGTGGACGAGCGGGGATCCCTCAGGTTGGCCTGCAGGGATCAGGATAAAACCTACAATCCAATGTCCCCTGCCGCTCCTGCCTGATGCTCCGACTCATCTCGGCCCCAAGCACCTACTGCAGGCTTGCACCCAGTCACAACAATGTGAATGTACTTAACTGTACAATTAAAAATGGTTAAAATCCTAAATGTTATGCCATGTATATTTTATCACAATACACTTTTGTAAATTAAAAACAAATGGTTATACATATGATTTCATTCTTGGGCATTTATCTCAGAGAAACAAAATCTTGTTTCAGGCAGAAACTTATTTCAGAGCAGCTTATTGCAATAACTTTAAGATGTTTGTGTTCATCCCTTTATACATTTAGTTGCAACTTTGCTGAACTGGATATGGCTTTCAAATACTGGAAGAATATTTTCTAATTTTTTAATTTTATTTTGTTCTTTTGCTATTCACAATGAAATGCAAAAGACACTTTTAAGTTTAATCTTATTTAGTAACCTTTCCTTCTTTGCTTTCTTAAACTGAGAGCAACTATCAACAAGGCAATAACTCAAGTCCAAGTTTGTAGCATTTGCCAATTCCTGTGGCATAAATACTCCCATTATGGCTGATTTTTTTTAATTAATTTTATTCAGATGACATTGGTTAATAACATCATATGAATTTCAGGTGCACAACATCTGTATACAATATTGTGTGTTCACATCCCAAAGTCTTGTTTCCTTCCACAACATATTTGACCCCCTTTTCCCTGTCTTCCCCTTTGGTAACCTCTATTCTGATGTCTGTGCCTAAGTTTTTGTTTTGTTTTGATAGTTTGTTTATTACTTTTAGTTTTATATTTCACATATGAGAGAAGTCGTATGGTTTTGTCCTTTTACATCGGATTTATTAACATTATACCTTCAAGATCCACCCAAGGTGTTACAGATACATTATTTTAAGACATGCAGAGTTGGAAAGACTTTGCACATCATTACAAGAGACATACGTAGATATAAGTAACTTTTAGAGCATAAATAATGGTAAATTGTCAAAAAAAATTAGAAAGTGATGAGTTTTGAGTATTCGGTTTATTTTTAATATTATTTATTTTATTGGAAGATTTTACACTTTGCTTTTACATGATGTCTGTGTTTACTAAACATTTGAAAAAGAAATTAACATAGCAATTGGCCCTTACAAGCTGGTATAGGCTAATATGTTTCCCCGCTCATAGGTAGACTTGGGAAGCCGAAAATTACTCAGAGTTTAATGACATCTGAGAACAGTACCTGTAATGTCACACTGACATGCTCCGTGGAGAAAGAAGAAGAAAATGTGACATACAGGTGGAGTCCCACAGGGAAAGAGGGTAGCGTTCTTCAAATCTTCCAGATTCCCAAAAACCAAGAGCTGATTTACACCTGTACCGCCTGGAACCCCGTCAGCAACAATTCTGACTCCATCTCTGCCCAGCAGCTCTGTGCAGGTAACCGGCTCTGTTCATCTTCCCTGAGTCCTACACATCACTCTGGAGAGCTGTCACTGTACCCTATTTATGTCCTCAGGTACCCAGGGGCATCTCCTCCCAGGAAGCCCTGGAAACCAGTCCACATCAGAGGGATGATCCTTGCTTCCGTTTCCTTTTTTCTTTTCTTTTTTAAATATATTTTATTGATTTTTTACAGAGAGGAAGGGAGAGAGATAGAGTTAGAAACATCAATGAGAGAGTCATCGATCAGCTGCGTCTTACACACCCGCTACTGGGGATGTGCCCGCAACCAAGGTACATGCCCTTGACCGGAATCGAACCCGGGACCCTTCAGTCCGCAGGCCAACGCTCTATCCACTGAGCCCAACCAGTTTCGGCTTGCTTCTGTTTCTAACCCTGACTTTCCATAGCAGAAAGTATAGTTTCCCTCCCCAGGAGGATCCCTGGTTTGGACAGTGCCCCTGGAATGTGGACAAGCCTGCCCAGCATCTGGGGCCTATTTTCTGAGTTGTCTCACTGCCTCTTTCATCTCCAGATAGCGCCATGAGCGTCCATATGCACCACGCGGGGTGGCTGAGCGGACTGGTTGTGCTCTTTCTGGTGATACTCATCCTTCCTGCAGTGCTTGTGTTCCTGTTTTGGAAGAGAGGACGAGGTAGGATTCTCCCTGGGATGGGAGTCATGGAGCCGAGGTGGTGCGGAGAGGCTTCTGTTCCAGGGAATCAGCATTTCTACAATCCCCACCCACCACCACACAAGCTCCCGGACTGGTGGCCCTGACTGTATGGGATCCCTCTGAATGCTCTTCAGAATATGTTCATGGGATCACCAGTATCTAAAGGCCCCAGAGCTTGGGTTCAAGTTCTGCACCCCCATTAACAAGCTGTGCTTTACTAGACATGTATCTTTACCTCTCCAGCTCAGTGCTCTTACCTATGAAATAAGGCTTGGATTAGAGGGTCTTCAATGCCATCATATTTTTTACTTTGGAGAGTCACTGAGGAACATGTACTAATTTGGTATTCCATGGATGTCACTAGATTCTTCCAGATCCCTCTGGATTCCCCTGTATTTTGTGCTATTTTCAACTCAGAAAGCCTGACCTTAGCACCCTAGGGGGAAATTACGCCATCCTATTCCTCCTAACCTCATAGCCTCCCAGAATCTCCCCTTCGCCCAAATCAGAAGAAGAAGCCCGGATGTAGAGAGGCTCTCCCTCTGCTTCCAGGTTCCTGACTCTCCTTTGATCTGATTCCTCAGATTCCTCCTTCAAGATCCTCAAGAGTAAGAAGAAACCTGGTAAGTTTTCAGCCACACGTTTCTCTGGATGACTATTGGGAGAGACGAATTCAGAGAGGCTAAGGCTAAGCTTGTGCTTTGCAGACAGTCTGGGGCAAGCAGGTCAAATTCGCAGCCCGCAGGCCCCATGCCTTGTTTATTTGGCCCGTGTTCGCCTGTGAGTTTGACATGCTTGGTCAGGGGTCAAGGTCCCAGTTTGACCACTTATCAGCTACCAATTATTTTTTCGTTGTGAGTCTCACTATAAAATATGCATAGTAATGGGTTAAGTGGAATTCCACATATAAAACACTTGTCTGGTGCCTGGCACATAGTGAGTACTCAGTCAATGTCAGCTACCATTCTTACCATTGATAGGCCCCATGATAAGGAGCTTGGCCTCATGATGAGAAGTCACACAATCCACTCAGGACATAGGAGATCTTCCGGGTTCCTAAAAAAAAAAGACATCTGTCTTAAATACTTTACAGCAAGCATGTCACACTCGCAGCCCATCGGCCACATGTCTCATTTATTTGGCCCATGTTAGCCTTTGAGTTTTTTTGGTTTTTGTTTTTGTTTTAATATTTTTATTGATTTTTTTAAAGAGAGGAAGAGAGAGGGATAGAGAGTTAGAAACATTGATGAGAGAGAAACATCAATCAGCTGCCTCTTGCACAACCCCTACTGGGGATGTGCCCGCAACCAAGGTAATACATGCCCTTGACTGGAATCGAACCCAGGACCTTTCAGTCCACAGGCCAACGGTCTATCCACTGAGCCAAACCGGTTTTGGCTAGTCTTTGAGTTTGAAATTCTTATCTTACAGCCTCTGGGAAGGAAGAAGGACTGCTTTTTTTTTTTTTTTAATCTATATGTGAGATAAGAGGACACTCAGTCTAGCTCATTCACCAAGTCTGAGGCAGGGGCTGGAAGGACTAAACTCTGAAATGTTGGATCCTTCTGAGACTGCTCAACTCGGATGTTAAGTGTGGTATGTTAGTGCCCTTGAACATGAAGACTCTAAATTCTAGCTGTATCTTTTCAACTTGATCCTAAAATGTTCCGTCCTAGGAGCAAAGAAAAGCGGTACACTGGGATGAGTGCTTCCACCAGCCCGTAATTTATTAAAAGTCTCTCCTGTCTTTGCTTCTCTATAGCTTCACACAGAGTCTGGCACATAGAGGGAGCTCAATAAGTGTTTGGCTGTGTGAGCCAGTCAAGCAAGCCACAAATGTTTGTGGAGCATCTGCAATGTCCTTAACATTGAGGCAATAACAATAATGTATGAGCCAGATGATTCCAACACAGTATGCAACTAGAGAGTCTCAATCTAGTAGAAAAACCAAGACCTTCTCATTAAAAAAAATAGCTAGCCATGCAAGGCAGGCAATGCTAAGTGCCAGAAACACTATGAAGACCCTGGTAGAAGAGCTACTTTGACTGCCCTCACAGAGATTGAAGAGAGTCTCTTTAGCCTAATGTGGACTCTAGAATAGAAAAGAATTCCTGCTGAGCTCTGGGTGAGGCTTGAACTGGGTGCCTCCCATAGCACATGTAATCCCTAGAAAAGGGAACGACAGTCCAAACACCCAAACATCCATCGCAAGAGGATGGGAGCCATTTATCCTCTTAGAGCTTAATTTTTTCATCTTAAAAAGAAAATTTTAGAGTAAACTATCTCTAAAAAGTCAGCCACCTTTTGGTTTTGGTTTTGAGTGTGTATGTGTGTGTTTGCTGTTGTTTTTTTAATCCTCACCCAAGGATATTTTTCCATTGATTTTTTTTTTTTGGGGGGGGGGGAGGGGGGTGGAGAAAGAGGGGAAAAAGAGAGAAATATCGATGGGAGAGAAACAGATTGATTGGTTGCCTCCTGCATGAGCCACGACCAAGGTCCGGGCAGGGGAGAAGCCTGCAACTGAAGTACATGCCCTTGACCAGATTCCAACCTGAGACCCTTCAGTCTATAAGCCAATGCTCTCTCTATTTACTGAGCCAACTTGGCTAGGGCAAGTCATCCACCTTTTGCATACTGTGTTTCTATCTTTATTTGTGACACAGATGATGTCTCAAAGAACACAATATACACATGTGTCACGGCTCCAAAGGATCCTCAGCCAGCAGAGCTCAGAATCTACGATGAAATCTCGCTGTGTAAGGTGAGCTGATGCGACTCACGGGTCTTCACCAGCACTTCCATGGCAGGGAGTCACTGGTGGCCTAGCCAGAAGCCACAGGCAAGAATCTGGAAATACCATAACAGGATTCTCTCTGAGGACAGGAATGTGGTCAATTGTGAGCCCATGGCCCTGAACTCTCATGTGGGGGTGTGGCTCAAGGTTAGAGAATCATGATTAAGAGTGAAGCACCCTCTTCAGGGGACAAGCTACAAGAGAGCCTCTGGTGTGAGGTGAGGGCTCTTCTATGTGAACAGGTTGCTAAGGGGGCTCCAAGGTCACAGAGCTGAGAGAGGTGCCCTTGAATTCGATTAACTTGCCTGGCTGCAGCAGCAGCTTAGGTTCCTCAGGCTCAGTCACTCTGTCCCACACCCACTAACTCTGCTTTTTTTTCTGGGTAAAAAAGTTGATGACCTAAAGGCTTCCAAATGTGATTACTGGAGCAAAGGGCAAGGCCCTGCTACCCCAGATTCCCTCAGGGCATCTCCCCGCCCATTTGCACAACTCCCCCTGGGTCTCTCACAGGAACTAGAACTCCCCAGCAGCACCTTCATGTTAACATGTCCTCTCTCTCCCTCTTGGGCACAGATGGACAAAACCGTCAGCACCCAGGGCAGAAAACCTCCTGGGATTTCAAGCTATGAATCTGTGATCTAGGCTGCCAGACAGCATCCTCTCCATGGAAACTGAACTATAACCACAGATAACGGCAGATACCCTGGACCCAGACTTCCTCTGCCCAGATCTTGCCTGAAGATTGCAAACTAGCCACACACCCTGTATGAAAAACAGGAAGCCCGCTGCTGCTGGACATAGCTTGTGCTTAGATAGGCAGACAGACATGTGCCCGTTCTGAAATGGGTGAATTCCCTCCCTCGGCACAGTGCTTTCCGGTCTTCTTCACATCACAGCACCTGTAGAAAATGTTTTTATGGCACAATGACGTAAACCATCAAGATTGCTCAGGTCTGCAGGCTGCCTGTGGCTAGCGGCCTCTGGTGATTACAGGTGGTGGCCCTTCCCCCCAACTCCAAACACAGAGAGGACCTGTGTGGCTGGAGGCACTGTAACATGCCATGGCACACCAGCGAGGATGCTCTGCTTACACTCAACATACATGAGGAGCCCTGGCTCATGGCTTGGGGGAATTAGGCAAAGGCCCCCTTTTTCCCTAAGGCAGATGCAGCCACTCACCCAAGTGCATGGCTTGGTAAGGAGAGAGTGAGCTGCATGCATTTCAGCCTCCACTTGCCCCCTTTACCCAGGAACCTTTGTTCATGTGCAACTGGCTGGCCCAGCGCAACCATACATGACGGTACAGCGTGAGAAGTCGTCAGCGCCTGGCTCCCCAAACACTGCTGGAAAATGCACTTTCTGTGGGGTTCTAGCTTGCTGGGGCGTTTTTCTTCAGGCCTTACTTCAAAGGCTTCATCAGACTTTCTTCCCAGCCAAGCTTCCCTTCCGTATCACTCTGTGATGGTTAACTTTAGGTGTCAACTCGGCAGGGGCAAGGGTGCACAGATATTTGGTCAAATTTTACTCAAATGCATCTGTGAGGGTGTTTCTAGATGAGATTAACATTTGATTTTTTGTAGACTAAGTAAAGCACATTAATCCTGCTTTCCTGGTTGGGCATCACTAAATCCACTGAAAGCTTGAATAGAATAAAAAGGTAATGTAAGGGAGAATTTATTCTCTCTCTCTCTCTCTCTCTCTCTCTCTCTCTCTCTCTCTCTCTCTCTCTCTCTCTCTCTCTGAGCTGGTACATCGGTCTTCTGCCTTTGCACTTGGACTTGGACCGGAACTTACACCATTAGCTCTCCTGGCTCTCAGACTCAGTCTGGAACTATATATAAGGTGACCAGATGTCCCGCTTTTGGCAGGACAGTCCCGATTTTTAACAATTTGTCCCAAATCCCCCAGCATTTTTTTTTTTTTGTAAAGAATGCACGATAAGTTAGGGAATGGTAGGAGAACAGGAAGGGAATATACGGTTTTCGGCGGCCATGTGGCTATGTAGCCAGGATATGAGTTTTATATTACTTTTGTTAATTTTATAATGTTAAACTTTAATAATAACAAATAATTGTTGAGAGCTGATTGTCGAGAACTGCTTATCAAAGTTCGCATTGTTTTTTTGTGTGTGTGTGTTTTCTTAATATATTTTATTGATTTTTTACAGAGAGGAAGGGAGAGAGAGATAGAGAGCTAGAAACATCGATGAGAAACATCGACCAGCTGCCTCTTGCACACCCCCTACCGGGGATGTGCCCGCAACCAATGTACATGCCCTTGACTGGAATCGAACCTGGGACCTTTCAGTCCGCAGACCAACGTTCTACCACTGAGCCAAACTGGCTTCAGTCAAAGTTCGCATTGTTGATCAGTTGTTAGAATTGTGGAATACGCGCTGTCCTTACCAGGAACTAATGCTGCGACTGAACACGTTTTTTCTTAGGTAAATAGTGTGACATCAGAAAAATCACAATTAAGTGTTGAGACTTTGAAAGCCATTTTATGTGTGAAATATAATTTAACAAATTCTTGTGAAAATTTTTAAACAACCTTTTAAATAACGGTAGCAATCTACTAAAAAAAATTCACTCAAATGAGAAATATGCCACAGAATAAAATAATATTATACATAATTTTTTATTTATTATATTTATAAATTGTACTTATGTTGAAATTTTAAAATATATATTACAATACTATTTTTGTGTTCTATGAAAATTTTTGTTGCTCCATATAGACCAAATTTTTAATCAAGAACTCCCCCCTAACCCCCAGACAATGGTATCCCACTTTACCAATGTTAAAATCTGGTCACCTTAATTATATACTATCACCACTCCAGCTTGGCGACTACAGATCTTGGGATTTCTCAATCTCTGTAACTACATGAGCCGACTCCTTACTACAACTACCCTGTTCCCCCGAAAATAAGACTGTCTTATATTAATTTTTGCTCCCAAAGATGCGCTAGGTCTTATTTTCAGGGGATGTCTTAGTTTTCCATGAAGAAGAATATGGTACACATTTATTGTTAAATGAAAATAAAGGAAATTTATTACCTGTATATGGTACGGTAGTATGGTAGTTGTCAACACAAATCAGACAAACTGTGAATCCTACAGTATCAAGAATTTACTCATTTCTTCAATGACAATCATGTCATCATCTTCTGGAACATCATCATAACAATCCAATTCCTGAATTTCCTGGTGAATTTCTTGTGACTCCATTTCTTTCAGAATCAGTGGACCAAATCTCTCATGTTTAGCAATAGCATTCTGAGACAGAGCCTAGGGGTAGCCTTATTTTCGGGGGATGCCTTATAATTCACTCAGAAGGAAACCTGTAAGTAGGTCTTATTTTCGTAGGATGTCTTATTTTCGGGGAAACACGGTAGTTCTCATTATCTGCAGAATCACACAAACACACAATGCAAGTAGCCTCAGGACCAAGAAGCCATGCCCGGTACCCCATTCTCCAAAAGGGAATGACAAGTTATTTTTCTAGCACTTTAAGGGAACTAAGTGCAACACAACCATCAAAACAAGAGACTTGCAACAAGCAAAATCTTTCTCAAGCAGGAACTTGAGAGATGATGTTGCAAATTGTGCAACTAGGCCACCCCAGTTCCCAAGGCTTCACCCAGAAAGCACAGAGTTCAGCTCAAGGTTAGGTGCTCCCTCCCTTTCCCCTTCCGCATCTGAGTGGAACACTCAATTGAGTATTTGAAACATTGCTCCCCTACAAGCTAACAAATATAACCAGCTAAATTTTTTTAAATATATTTTATTGATTTTTTACAGAGAGGAAGAGAGAGGGATAGAGAGTTAGAAACATCGATATGAGAGAGAATCATCAATCAGCTGCCTCTTGCACAACCCCTACTGGGGATGTGCCCGCAACCAAGATACATGCCCTTGACCGGAATCGAACCTGGGACCTTTCAGTCTGCAGGCCCATGACACTCTATCCACTGAGCCAAACCGGTTTTGGCACCAGCTTAATCTTAAATGCCCACAAACAACCCCAGACTGCACAGAAAATAATAATAATAATATACTGCATTTAGGCAGAAGGAGGATGTTAGTCCTAGTGAATGGACCCATAAACCCCCTCGCCCTGACTGTCTTTAGCACTTTGTTGGGGCTACAAGGCCCCCAAAGTATGAGATGAGTGTAATGTCTGTCCTGGACTAACTGAGAAACCAATTCCAGCACAAACACTACAACTAAATCCTAAACTACATATTTCCTGGAATGGCCCCAGCTAGCACTGTCAGAGCTGAAACTGGGCCTTGAAGGATAAATGGGATTTGGCAGAGAGTGGAGAAGACAGAGGGCATCCACATGAGGAAAGCATAAACAAACAAACAAAAACAGCCCTGGATCTGCTTGAGGTATTTTGGGTGCCTCCCCAGACACCATGATGGACACAGTCCCTTGCCTGTGTGTGGCATAGAGCCTCAGCTAGAATGTGGGCTCCACCCCTTGTCCCTCCACACATCCTGTAATGTCCAGTCCTCTACGAAGCGTTTCCTGATATGATTAGTGAAATTAATGATGGCTTTTTTTGCACTCCTTTCTTTCAGTCATTATAACTCATTCCATTCTGTCTTTCAGTAGAGATGATTATTTGTTTCCCTCTTCCTTACACATCACTCAAGGACAAGCTCCATGACTTCATGATCATGAAGGGTGATAGATGTATTCATTTCTGCATCCACCAGGTAGTGCCTTGTACCCTGCTTGTGAGCAATAAGTACTGTTGAAGAGAAGGTACTTATTGTAAGTATTGACATATGACAGCCAATAAGCACAGTGGAATCAAATTATGACATATATTAAATATCAGAATGCAAGAGGCTGTTTTGGAGGGAGAAGACTTTCAGACTTAGGCCTACCCAAACACAGAGCATTGTCTTCTTTCCAATTGATTTGGTCTTGCAGTCGCTATTGATGGTTGACCTGGATCAACCCATGGTTTTGTGCATTTGGGATTCTCAAAATAAATCCACTTTTCACCAGTCACAATTTGATGCAAAAAAAACCTTTCTTTTGTGCCGTTGAAGCAATATTTTACTGATGACTTTTCAGTTTTCCACTTGTCTTTCATTCAGTTGATGTGGCACCCATTTTCCTTCCTTTAAAATCTTTCCCATTGCTTGTAAATGATCTAAAATTGTTTGCTGAGCAACGTTTAATCTTTCTGCAAGTTGTTTTTGAGTTTGACACACATCTTCATTCAATAATGCTTGAAATTGTTGGTCCTCAAACTTTTTCAGTTGACCTGGACGTTCTTTGTCTTTCACATCAAAATCATCACTTTTATTTATTTTTATTTATTTTTTTAAATCATCACTTTTAAAGCATTTAAACCAGTGTTCACAAGTATCTTGAAATGGAGCATGTTCACTATAAGCTTCTGAAGTATAAGATAACTTTCGGCAGCACTTATCTTCAAAATAAACTGATGAATTAAAACTTACCTCAAATGCTCTTTTTTTGCCACAAAATTTGACATTTTTAAGTGTAAAAATACATATGTTAACATCTTCAGAAAATTTGACATATGAAGTTTTGAAGCTTGCTGTCAATACAACAAAATATCATACATATCAAATCGCATATATATCAACATATGTGAAACTCCATCTATTGGGGGGGGAAAAACACACATTATTAACAGGTACACTTGGTAATCCCCAGCCCAAGTCAGGAAATGTGTGGGAGACAACCAATCGATGTGTCTCTCTCACATCTATTCTCTCTCTCTGTATCTCTCTCTCTGTGTCTCTCTCTGTCTCTCTCTCTCTCTTTCTTCCCCCCTCCCTTCCACTCTCTTCAAAAATCAATGGAAAAAATATTCTCAGATGAGAATTAACAGTGGGGCAGGGGGGGAGGGGAATTAAAAACCATTCTTTCACTAGAACAGGATTTTGTGTCAGACCAAAGATGTGCCAGTTTTACATGTGAAACTGAAATCTCAGGGGAGGAGGCCTCTAGGGGGAAAGCACCATAAGCCAGGGTGGTTAAGCATGGGCTTTCCCAGGGAATTGAGAAAACGTTGCAGCTCATGCTTCTCCGAAGAAGAAAGCGAAGTTGATTTTTTTTAATGTATTTTATTGATATTTTACAGAGAGGAAGGGAGAGGGATAGAGAGCTAGAAACATCGATGAGAGAGAAACATCGATCAGCTGCCTCCTGCACACACCCAACTGGGGAGGTGCCCGCAACCAAGGTACATGCCCTTGACCGGAATTGAATCTGGGACCTTTCAATCCACAGGCTAATGCTCTATCCACTGAGCCAAACCGGTTTTGGCTCGAAGTTGATTTAAAATGTGTGTGTTGCCGAGACCGGTTTGGCTCAATGGATAGAGCGTCGGCTTGGGGACTGAAGGGTCCCGGGTTCGATTCCGGTCAAGGGCATGTACCTTGGTTGAGGGCATATCCCCAGTAGGGGGTGTGCCAGAGGCAGCTGATCGATGACTCTCTCTTATCAATGTTTCTAACTATCTCTCTCCCTCCCTCTCTGTACAAAATCAATAAAATATATAAAATAAAATAAAAAATAAAAAATAAAAAAATGTGTGTGTTGCTGAAACG